TATATATATATATACACACACACACACACACACACACACATATTTAATACACAATCTCATGAAACAAGACCCAGACAAAAATGATGGTACCCCCTCAAAGAGATTAATTTGACTATAGGGACGTTGGTGTCGGTTGTGAGATGAAGGTGTGTCCTCTAATTAGCGTCACACGTCTCTTGCATGCATGGCAGGCTAATGGAACACTCAAAATTGTCCCTGCGATTGGCTGGCAACCAGTTCAGGGTGTCCCCCGCCTACTGCTCAAAGACAGCTGGGATCGGCTCCAGCACGCCCGCCACCCTCGTGAGGAAAAGTGGATTAGAGAATGGATGGATGGATGACTGAATACACTGACAAGTTGTGTGTCGTGTTTTTTTTTTTTTTTGTTTGGGATATTTCTGTAATGCTTTAAGGATTACACTAACTGCTAAAAAAAAAAAAAAAAACAATAAAAGAAAAAAAAACAGCTGGACATTGTCATGCCTCCGTTTATTTTTTGGATATTCCACCAAAAGGATGTGTATCCTGTTAAACTGGTCAGGACAGAGCTTATAAGGCTTTGTGTGTGTGTGTGTGTGTGTGTGTGTGTGTGTGTTTGGTTGACACAGCTGTTGCACGGTGTTTGACCAGGTCTCTTCCCTTCTGTCGGACCGCTGTTTTCCTGTATTGTTCGAACGACTATCTGGACATCAAGAGGGTGCAAATCATATGATGGTCTCCATCATGAGATGTCCAGATGTTTTGTTTTCAACTCAATCAATCGTGTCATCCTTTGATCGGTCACGTTTGCAAGTAGCAATGATGCTAACGCCGTTTGGAGGATCGTAACTTTAAAATTATGTTTACATTATAAAGCGTATTTCTTATTCCTAATTTCCTTATAGTTCACTGTGGTATTTTCTTTTACTCAGAACAAAAACCCTGACGGTTTTTATACTTGCAGAATTTATCAGAGACACGATATCAGCAATGTCCTGTTATGCAAAGCCTGAGAAAACATCAGCTGCAGAGGAGGAAAAGTGGGGGGACGAGTGACGGCCGGCCCCTTTGTTTGTGGAAGCATCTCGTCCTATGAAGCCACTGATTCTTCAAGTCCGATTTTTAGAAACAAACTGATCCGGTTTAATTTGGTGGCAGATACATTTGCTGTGGCTCAGCGTTTGTTTTTAGTTTTGCTTAATGTGCACTCGAACCGTTGTGCTGACAGAACAGGTGAAGACCCTTTGTGTTGTTTAGTGAGAATGATGTGGTGCACTCTGGTTGGCCCTGTTCCATGATCACCTCTCCCACAAGAGGTCAGATACAGTTCCTGTGACTCACAAGCTGCCCACAGTCTGCCAAATCCTGTTCTTTCCTTCTTGCACTTTCTCTGTTTGTTGCTTCCAGCCTCTCCCACTTGGTCGAAAACAGGGGGCCGGAAATTTTTTCGTTTGAAGGCCGCAAACAGAAAAAAATGGAAGGGTGAAAGGGCCACTAAACTTTTTGAAACGCGTGAAAGCCAATCGAGAAAGCAATTCGAGATTGTTTCTATTGGTCGTATGATGACTGTGACATTGCATCCTGTTCCAAGAGTGACGGTTTGAATTGGATTACTGGTAATCCTAAACCAACGTAGAAGGTTAGGAATGGATCAAGATGATCCAAGCATTGTTAGATTGCCTTTGACGCCTGTCACTGGATTGTGCTCATTAGCCTTGTTTGACTCGCGCATGTTATTCATCTGACTCAAGGATTGCATGTGCGGCAAGAAACATACAGGCAAACCGTTTCATGAACATTTGCGACCTCGAACGAACCTTGACAAACTCTGACGTGCCTGCAACACCCGCTGCCCTTCGAAAACACTCGCAATTGTTTGCCACTCAGTGGGATAGGGCCTTTATTGCAACAACGCTTCTTTGAATTTACTTTTAACTACCCCCCAAAAAATTGTAGTGTCACAAACTCACTATGTTTTGTACGCCAAAGTCCAGTATTGTTCTCTAATTGAGATCCTTCTTATCTTTCTGTTGCAGAAATTATGAATGATGTCATCAAGAAGGTGAAGAAGAAGGGCGAATGGAAGGTGAGAAGCAAAGTTAACAACGTCCATAGGAAGATTTTAGTCCAAATGGCCACAATGATAGCTTCCAGCTCACCCGCCCACTGGATGGATGGCTGTATTATCTCCGCTCGATAATGTCGTCTCCCATTTGCAGGCCCTGATTGTGGACCAGCTCAGCATGAGGATGTTGTCCTCTTGCTGCAAGATGACGGACATCATGACAGAGGGCATCACCAGTAAGTGAAATGTCTTTCCATTGGACGCCGTACTTGCATGTGTACCTTTGCATGTGCAACCGGGATGACGAACGTTTCTCTTGACCCCTTCACCTAGTTGTGGAGGACATCAACAAGCGACGAGAGCCTCTTCCCAGCCTAGAGGCCATTTTTCTGATTACGCCGACGGAGAAGGTGAGCATTCACACACTCTCAAAAGTACTTCCCAATCCTGGCTGTAGCTGAGGACAGTTTTCTGATATACGACCCCATAATACATAATACTCACGTAATAGTTCCTGCTGAAGATCAAAATGAAAAAACAAAAAAAAAAAACAATTTGTTTCGCGAAACATGACATGAAGTTTTGGTATTTTCTCCAAAGTTTGGAAATGGAACATCTATTGAGTCACTGCTAGCACCATGTCAATAGAGTAGATGAATCGACAGGTAGACTGTGTTGTCAACATACTTCAAGGCCTTCGTCACACCTCACGGCTTCTTCTTCTCCGTCCCCAGTCAGTCCACACCCTCATCGGAGACTTCAAGGACCCGCATTCAGCAAAATACAAAGCGGCTCATGTTTTCTTCACCGACTGTGAGTGTTTGAGGATTTCAATCAGATTTCTAATCTCATCTTGGAAGGTGCACTGTACCGTTTTCACCCTCGAAAAGCATCACTTGAGATGCGGAGGTGCTGATTCATATCCAGCCGTCGCAGAGAATGCAGACGGTCACAAATTGAGAGTATCTCAGCTACAATTGGCGGGGACAATCGTTCTCAGGTTACCAAAGTGGACAGCAGCCGCACCAACGTAATCTGTCCATAAGGGTGATAACAATATCTTGTTTGACTGCTTGGGTGATCTGCTTGAGCTTGGATTCTCCAGGAACTGTATCTGGAAGACTCAGAGCCTTGTATTCTGGAAATGTTCTCATAATTGCGTTCCTCTTCCCACAAGCCTGTCCCGATCCCCTCTTCAATGAGCTGGTCAAGAGCCGCGCTTCCAAAACCATCAAGACACTGACAGAGATCAACATCGCCTTCTTGCCGTACGAGTCTCAGGTAAAACATTTGAGAGATGAGTCAAGTTCAAAAACCTGACGGAAACAAGTTACAAAGGGTTTTGTTCAAGTCCCTCAAATTCCTGATAATGCTCAATGAGTATTCTATTCATTTACTAAAAAAATCATTATAGAGACCATGTTATGGTAGCTGTGACCCTTCTTCATTAATGTTCAAATGATTATGAATGGACTATTTTAGAAACAACACGATTCGTCAATGGTTGTAGCAGTTCTTCAATTGTTTTCGACTGTGACACAGCACCCTTCATTGAACGGCTATCACATGGGGACAGTGATCGATGTACCTGCGTATCACCTGCATCGCCGTGATAGCCAACAATGGCATTCTGAAGAATTTGACTCAAGGGTCGCATATACAGGCTGAAAAAAAGGGATCCAGGGACTGACCCTTGAGGGACTCCACATGTCATGCCCGTTTGATTGGATTTAAAACTTCCGATGGTTACAAAAAAAGTTCCTTTCCTCTCAACCATTTTAAGGACTGTTCCATTGAGGTAGTCCAACCCAAGTTTGCAACCTGTCCAGCACGTGTCGTCTTTATGTTATGTATATTCCACACCACTCCAATTCCCCCATAACATGTATTTGATATTTCTCCTTCATCTGATCTGGATGATTTTTCCCCGACCCACAATGCTTTGCTCCACCCTGTCTACCGTTGTTAAATCTGAGACAGTGAGTTTCCGCTCCAGGCACCGTGGTGCTTCATAGCCCCGCCCACACGCTGATGCACATTCCCCATTTGGATGGGCCAAGGGCCATACGGGAAGTGTTGGCCAATTGTAGCAGGACTAACACGGGGACCCTTCTGTGGTGCAGAAGCACGGTCATGTGACGTGGGCAGATGGGGGTAGGAGACAGGAGGGGGGCGGTGACTGACGAAGGGGAGGAGAGGAGGAAAAAAATATGAGTGCAGGAAGGATATACGGCAAGGACGAGAGATGGGGAAACGAGGAGGAATAAAGACAGACATAAACGGAAAGAAACGAGGAGTCGGAGAACACTGAAGGACTGTCAAAAAGACAGGAGAGGACATTTTTTTCTTCACAGTATGTTAAACACGAAATGTTTGATGCTGTTTTGACCGCAGTACCCAAACAAAACTCACCCATGCCTCAAACTAGAAATCAAGAATGACAGGGCAGTGGAATGCTATTTGTTGATTGGGTGATATTTTGGCGTTGAACAATAATAAATACGAGTGACAAACACAACTGGAGAGAAAGAGAAATTGTCCTCTAAAGAAGAGGGGCGTCGTACGACAAGTCATGGGGGAGGCCGGAAGAGCCCTTAAGAGGACGAACCTTCGAGCAAAAGCCAAACTCCGTCTCCGTTGCGTTGTTATCTGTGCGCAGGTGTACTCTCTGGACAATGCCGACGCCTTTCACAGTTTCTACAGCCCTCATAAGACCCAGCTGAAGAACCCCGTGATGGAGAGGCTGGCTGAGCAACTGGCCACGCTGTGTGCCACGCTGAAGGAGTACCCGGCGGTCAGATACCGAGGGTGAGCACCAGGGCACGCGGCTAAACGGCATCAGGAGGCGCAACCTGAAAGGAGAGGCACATTGTTACGTGACGGGGTTTCCTAGTTTGTGTGCTAGGATGTTATTCGATCCATTACAAAGCACTTACTGTTCACTTATCGTGGATCATATTATTGTGGTTAAGTGTTGCCGTCGTATAGATTGTCAGGCGGAAAGGCGTCGGTGTCATTTGTATTTATTGATGGCAAATAGTTGCATCCTTCTGTCCGTCCGTCCATCAGAGACTACAAAGACAACGCCACCTTGGCTCAGCTGGTTCAGGATAAACTGGATGCCTACAAGGCTGATGACCCCACCATGGGAGAGGCGAGTCTTCCTTCTTGCCCCCCCCCCTTTTTTTTTCTTTTTTTTTTTTGTCCGAATTCGTATCTTTGAAAGCAGTGGTCCCCAACCATCGGACCCAGACAGATTGAGATCTTATTTTGTTGAGTTTATTTTTTTGTTTTTGCCGAGCGTCAGTCCACCGTTTTTCTCCTTCGATGAAATACTTATTTGTCATCCTGAAGAAATCACAGTTTGAAAAGACTCACTCTTTTGGGTCTGTACGTGCAGGGTCCGGATAAGGCCCGCTCCCAATTGATCATCCTGGACAGGGCCTTTGACCCCGTCTCACCCGTCCTGCATGAGCTCACCTTCCAGGCTATGGGCTACGACTTGCTGCCAATTGAAAACGACGTCTACAAGTATGCCCAAGTGACAACTTTCCAAGATGTCGGACGTGACCCGTTTGTCATCAAATGCCTTTGCTCAGGTACGACACGAGCGGCATCGGAGACTCTCGTGAGAAAGAAGTTCTTCTTCACGAAGACGATGATCTGTGGGTGAGCCTGAGACACAAACACATTGCAGAGGTGTCCCAGTGAGTACTTTTCCTCATCATCCACACATCATCCAAGTATTCCGGATCCCGTATCCGGGATTATACCAACGATGTTTTTTATTTTTGATTTTTTTGGGGGGACTTAAAGGGAAGTGACGCGCCAGCTGAAGGAGTTTTCCTCCAGCAAGAGAATGAACACTGGAGAGAAGGTAACATGAACCCTTCATTAATCGTACTTGCATACCAAAATATTTTGGACAATTCCAAGAAAGAATGAGGCCAATTTCTTTAGCATTTTGCGATTGAGTGAAATCATTTGGGTTTTAGGGTGACGCAATGTTCCAAAACTTTTATATAATCAGCCCAAAAGGTGTCCGTAGCGGATCGTAAAGATGATTAGCGAGTTCGTGATGAGCGACTAACGGCGTTGGCGATTTCACGTTGCTTTTCCTTCTACAGACCACAATGAGGGATCTGTCCCAGATGTTGAAGAAAATGCCCCAATATCAGAAAGAACTCAGCAAGGTGCGCTTATGTGACGATGGCTGATTTCAATCTTTTTTTTTGTTTTGTTTTCGTGGGAATGCTAACTGTGAGCGGGTCGCGTTTTGCAGTATTCCACTCACCTGCAGCTTGCGGAAGACTGCATGAAGCATTACCAGGGAACAGTGGACAAGCTGTGCCGCGTGGAACAGGTGAAACGGGAACAACGCTTTCACATATTTCAACAGTTTGCTTTTCCTTCTACAGACCACAATGAGGGATCTGTCCCAGATGTTGAAGAAAATGCCCCAATATCAGAAAGAACTCAGCAAGGTGCGCTTATGTGACGATGGCTGATTTCAATCTTTTTTTTTGTTTTGTTTTCGTGGGAATGCTAACTGTGAGCGGGTCGCGTTTTGCAGTATTCCACTCACCTGCAGCTTGCGGAAGACTGCATGAAGCATTACCAGGGAACAGTGGACAAGCTGTGCCGCGTGGAACAGGTGAAACGGGAGCACCGCTTTCGCATATTTCAACAGTTGTTTGAACATTGCAACACTTTTTTTTTTGAAACTTTGATTCAATGATAGCACGTTGATTATCGCCATTCCCTGATTGGATCGGATACATCTCAGGGTTATACTGCCCTATTGTGAGGTTTCCATCTAGCTTGATAGCGCAGGCAGTTGAGTTAAATCGTAATCGCGTCGATACAAGCTGAACTTGTCTACTACTCAGTGGACTGGTGCGATTATGCCACGTTGGTTATTCAAGAGGAGGAAGGGGACACACGCCTGTTAAACTTGCACCTTTTGCAGGACCTGGCGATGGGCACGGATGCAGAGGGGGAGAAAGCTTGATAGCGCAGGCAGTTGAGTTAAATCGTAATCACGTCGATACAAGCTGAACCGTTTACTACTCAGTGGACTGGTTCGATTACGTCACGTTGGTTATTCAAGAGGAGGAAGGGGACACGCGCCTGTTAAACTTGCGCCTTTTGCAGGACCTGGCGATGGGCACGGATGCCGAGGGGGAGAAGATCAAAGACCCAATGAGGGCCATCGTGCCCATTCTGCTGGATGCCAACGTCAGCACATACGATAAGATCCGCATCATCCTGCTCTACATCTTCCTCAAGAACGGTAGGAAGAAAACTACACGATATGTCGAGCTCACAACAGAGTCACGACAAAATGGACACCGGGCAAACACAGATCATGACACGAATCAAAGTGGCAACTCTTCCTCGGGACATCCGGAGCATAAGGTGATTCGATACGTAATGTGTACGTGCGTCCACAGGCATCACGGAGGAGAACCTGAACAAGCTCATCCAGCACGCTCAGATTCCCCCTGAAGATAGCGAGATCATCACCAACATGGCGCATCTGGGTGTCCCGATTGTCACCGACGTAACTCTCTCTCAACTCTCTTTTCTCTTGACGCCATTCTTTCTTCGACTGTATACCAGGGCTCGCTTTTTCCTTTTCTCAGTCAACCCTCCGTCGAGGCAAGAAATTGGACAGGAAGGAGCGGGTCAGTGAGCAGACCTACCAATTGTCCCGCTGGACACCACTGGTCAAGGACATCATGGAGGTGTGCGCCACTAGTCCCGAATCACTTGCGAGTGCATGTTTGGAGTTTGTCATGAAGCAATTTCAGATGATTTACATCAGGGGTGGCCAAACTATGGCCAGGGGGGGCATTTGCGGACCACCAACTATTTTTTTCAGCGGCCGGCGACGTGACAAAATAAAATACTAAAAATGACATTTGACATGGGCCGCAAGTCCGAGTGGATTTAGTTATTGAAACTTATTTGTCTTTTTGTCCCTCTGCAGGATGCCATTGATGATAAACTCGACACAAAGCACTATCCCTACATCTCCACCCGCTCTTCTGCCTCTTTCAGCACCACTGCTGTCAGGTATACACACACACACACAAACACATACAAACGTTGTGTATTGGACATAAGTTTCCCTCATATTCTGGTGCTTCCGCTTCCTGGCAGCGCTCGGTACGGACACTGGCACAAGAACAAGACACCCGGAGAATACCGCACCGGCCCAAGGGTCATGGTCTTCATCATTGGGGGCGTGTCCTTTAGCGAGATGCGCTGCGCCTACGAGGTCACACAGGCCAACGGCAAGTGGGAAGCCATCATCGGTGAGTAGTGCAAATGGGGAGGGCGGGGGCGAACCTCAAGAGTAAGAACTAAGCTTCCCGCGTGTCGATTATGGACATGACCCTCAGAGGTTCACGCACACGGCCGCATACGCACGCACGCCATGATGAGAAACAGCCATCATGGCCCCTAACATGAACGAAACAGAAAAATAAAATCGATGCAATACTTTGTGAGTTTGTGAAAAGGAAATCAATGCCTACTGTAGTCAAGACCTGACGCGGAGGCATACGGCGCATTTTTGCAGCGAATTATGTGCACAAACATAACTATCGTAGCTCACGTGCACCATTTTAAAATGCTTCTCCGGGCACTCCAGATTCCCATCCTTTGTCCTGTCGTTTAGCCACAAGTTTGACTACGAGTCACAATGACGTGTTTTCAGAAGTTCTATTTTGTGTGTGGTGTCTTCTGTTCAGGTAGCCCTCGATGTCATGCCCCCCCGGACTGTTGATTTGATTGGATGTGTCTTAACGCTTCTCTGCTGCTCTCTTCTATGTCCCTGTTTTGCTCTGCTTCAGCTCTTGTCTTTCAAAACTGTCGTCTTTGAATCGCACCCTTGCCATGTCTTCTTCTGCATCCCGATTGTTTTTGTGCAACATTTGACAATGTGTGTATTTCCCTGTTGGTGTGTTCTGTGAACAGCGAAGTCAATGAGTGTGTCTGTGTGTTGTTTTAAAAAAGAAAAGGAAAAAAAAAAACGCTGGAGAGAGTGGATGAGGGCCTGGAATTGTGTTGAAAGATGAGCGGTGAAGCCACCTCTGTTCCTCCTACAGGTTCCACCCACATGCTCACCCCCACCAAATTCTTATCGGACCTGCAGCACCCCGACTTCCGAGAGTCCACTAGGGTGTCCTTTGAGGACGCTGACGCCTCAGACGAGTGAGGCAGAGACAGATTGGGAGGGAGGGAGAGAGAAATCACACAGACAAAAAGTAAAGGCAGCCGCTCAAGAAGCCCTTTCTGAATTTTAGCAGCACAAGGGCTTCCTTGTTCTTCTTTTGACTCACTCAGTAGTGTTTTCTGTACCTCCACCACCTCCTCCTCTTCGTGACCCTCAGGGATGGGTGCACCATGGCCTTTTCTCACTGCATGGGCCGCTCTATCAGGCTCGACTCTTGCCTCAAATCATCGTTTGCAAACATCTGTGCTCACCAAACATTTTGGCCGTCTTCATCCACGTCCGTGGAGAATGAACCATGAACTAGAAATGGATCAAAGTTGATCTCATTTTCTCCAGTGCAGCGACTGACTCAAAACAACACCATAGATGCCGGGGTACAAGACGAGACGAGTCATTATCCTGAGACTCTAAACGAGGGTCCCGGTAGATGAAATTTTGAACTTACGAATGGCGTGATGATTAAGAGTACATTTCTGAGGACCCCTGGATGGATAGGGAGAGTAGGGACTAACGTAGCCTGCAGAATGCAGACTGCAACTTTTTGTCACGTGTTCATACTTGAATGGCAGCTGTACCCGAGGAAAGGGGTGCAGAGTGACACACTATTAGTTGGGGACCTTCTCTGCCACTTCTTGCTCTTCACGACACGACATCTCTTCCAGGGGCGCATTGGCATATTGGGAATTTTGGGGAAAACGTAGCAATTTTCCCCAACAGCCGGTCTATATTCAGGCCGGTCAAACCGCGTGACAGCCAGCGCTACAATATTGACGATTAACTTTTGTTGCGTATCTGCCGCAATATTTTTCATTGTATATCTTGTAAATTAATCTTTTATCTATTTTTTTTTACCGCTTTATGGGAATCTGGGCCTGTAAAAACACATTTTATTGGAGTGAGCGTTATCATCATTGCAAAGGCATTTTTTCTAAATGTAAAGTGCTGTTCATTGAGCAAGAATAATTCCTACAACAACAAAAAAACAATTTCTTTAAATTTTTCATTGTATATTTTGTAAATTAATTTGCTGATGCCGGGCGTATGACGCAACTCAAACCTCACCAAAATGTCTGCACAGATGCGTGTGAATTAAGAATAAGCCTTTCTTCCATATAATATAAAGACAAAGAGTGTGCCGAAGAGCGGCCATGCCTGAGGATGTTGTCCAACCCCCATCCCTGCTGCCTCCTATCATCTCTGTTGGGTGGATTAAATCGCCCCTCGATAGTATAAAGGCTCACCCTGTTAACCGCTCACCTCAGATTTAATCTACCCCAAGATCCATCTTTATGATCACTTTTTTTTTTTTGTATTACTGTTTGTTTATTTTTCTAATGAACCCTTGGCCACAAACAGTCACCTTGATTTCTTTCAGGACATAGTTGAAGGTCATTGAGGGAATTTTTATTTATGGTTTCTCAGTCCGCAGTATGTCTGCTCCGGCGCATACTGTCTTTTACATTCAACACGCGATAACGGCCATCACCTACTTACTGCAAGTGTTTGTGTTTGTCATGCGCTTAAAATGTAGATTTAGCCATGTACACAAAGTCCGTAATGACTAATTGGTCAAAAAGTTGTTTGTTTCTTGGGCACAAAGCAGCATGTTTGACAGTAAACAATCCCCTTAGACCCTGGGTGGTGAAACAACCAAAATTGGACTTGCTGCTTCTTGTTTATTTGGGGCATTCTCTGGAATGTCTACAAATAATTGACAGTTTAAGTGGAGGAAACATGACATGTAGCTCTGTAGTAGAAACAAACAACGTGAGTTCAAACGTTGCTGTGTGTTGTGAGGAGTAAATCAAACGATCAAAAACCTTATTTGTGAGAAAGAACTTTGGAAACTATCATGTGTAAAATATCATAATTAGGCTGAACCAAATTTGGCAAGATGTTTGCTTTACTCCGTTCCCACTCCTGTCAAGGTACAAAAAAAAGTGTGAAATGTGTCTTCAGCTGTTTTGATCTTTTTATATTATTAGCATTTGATTCCCATATACAGTCGGCAATCCCGGGCAATTTGTATGTGCTCATATTGAAACAGGCGTTAGGCTTCAATCCTGTGTTAAAGCTACAGAATGTCATATAATAAACAGGAAAATAGAATAGTTTGTAAAAAGGAAATCACTGCCTACCTTGGTCGAGACCTGGCGTGGAGGCAAGCGTGGAGGCACACTTTTGCAACGTGCTAAGTGCCGGAACTATCGTACGTACGTGCTTCAGATTCCCATTCATTAATTGTACACGAAACAAACTTTGAATGAGAATAATAATAATAATGAAGATATATCGCAACAGCTCTAATCGCAAGTTGAAAATGCAGACTGCCGACCGCGAACAACTTCCGGTGATGCAGATCGTGGCGCCACCGTCACGTCAAGGCTTCCGGCTTTTTTTTTCCCCTAATTATTTTAAGATTTTTTTGTGAATGTAAAATTGATGCAATGCCTAGGCTGCAGTTTGCACTAACACAAAAACCATATAATATTAATGGCGCCACCGTCACGTCAAGGCTTCCGGCTTTTTTTCCCCTAATTATTTTAAGATTTTATTGTGAATGTAAAATTGATGCAATGCCTACGCTGCAATGTGCACTAACACAAAAACCATATAATATTAATAATACGTACACAGACACAAATCTTTTTTTTCTTCCATTCACCCCGCCCCACCCCCTGACGAACCATTAGCTTGCCAGCTATCTAGCGATCTAAAAGTAAACTGCGGTGAGAAAAAAAAAGCACAACAGTCGGCTTTTTGTTGAGGATGCTGCTTTGAGAATAAACACAATATATATACTGTACACACTTCAAATAAATCCTTTGAAACGCATTGAACTGGCGAGTTACGAGTGGTCGTGATGGATGACGACAGTTGAAGTGTAACTTGAACTCTATCACCCCGCCCCCAGTCATCAATTATGATCTATTTGACTGATGCCAAAATAAGTGCTCGGCCGATTAATGAAGTGTAGGACAAAAGTAAATACCAGCAGAAATGAGCGTTTCTAACATGAAACTTATGTTAATAGATGCAGTTTCTATCTCCCTGTTCAATGTACAACGGCGTAGAAGTAGTCCTTCCATGACAAGAGCTGAAAACACATTTTCCCTCTGTACCCGTGTTAAAGCGCATCTAACTGCAGCCCTTTTTGTGTGTGTCTTCAGGATCGACCAACATCTTTACCCCCACCAGCCTGCTGGAGCAGCTCAAGGCCATGAACAAACCAGACGAAGAAGTGACGAGTTAAAAATCTCTGCCCTCGCTCGTCCAATCTCTCTCCTCCTTACTTTCCTATTTACATCAACCATTACCTTTCTTCTGTATGCATCTTGCTTGAGGATAATAATAATTAAAAAAAAAAAAAAAACGTCATCAAAGATGACAAGAAAATATATGTTCTCACAAAAGAGTAAAAAAAAAAACAAGTATTCTCATGTTTTGCAACGGATGCAAAGAAACGACTTGATTGAGGTATCCATAGAAGACGGCCATTTCAAAGGGAACACACCAAAATGTCAGCGTGTACTGTATGCTATAAAACCTGCTAGAATATGTCAAAGGTCAATCTATCCTTGTTGGTCATCCTGGGATACCTGCTTCGGGTCAGTGTCGTGAAAGCGGGTGGAGGAGGGATGTGCCATTTGAGAGGTTCGAGTTGTAAAATATAGCATATCAATCAACATGCAATATATATATAAATATATTTAACCGGGGAGGAGTTGCCCCCTGCCGCCCATTTGAGATGTTTGTATCAAAGTAGCATGCTTGGACGTGTCTGGACTGTTAACTGTGTTTGTATCCCGTGTGGATGTGTTTGGGGAGCTAGCTTTTCTTTTCCACCAAGATTGTGTTTTGGATACTCTACTGAAAGACCTTTCCGCTTCCCAAAACGTCTACGGAAGCATCCGCGGGGCTCAGCTTGCGGCTCCGCGCGTGAGCTCAGACTATGCAAATTCACCACACGAACGCTTTCGCCGTCACTTGAGGGATCGTTGTGGTCCGGTCACTTGGTGATTTTGAAGCAAGTCATCCCTCCGCCGACAGCCCAGATTATGAAGTATTCAACTGCCCCCCCCCTTCTCCAGACGCCGGACAATGTCATGTTTTCATGTTAAATGAATACGCTAAACAATGATGTCCAAACTAGAGCCCGGGGGCCATTTGCGGCCCTCTATCCATTTTCAGCGGACCGCGACATGTCCCCTGCTCTAAAAAATATATATTACAAATGACATGAGACATGGTTAGTTAGAAAAACTGAAGGTGGGCAGAGTGAGAAAGGAGAGAACTTTTCTCTATATTCCAAGATTTAAATAAAAGAAGAACATCATGTATCTTCAAAATGCTGTCGTGAATAACGAGAATTCAATGTCAGAGCTAAAAATAGTTTCTTCCACTTTGTGCTCTATGAATATTTATGAAGACATCACATCAGCGATCCTCAAGTCACTGAAAAATGGTCACCTTACTAGTTAGTTCTTTTTTCGGTTTGAACGTGGCCCTTTCATCCTTCTATTTTTTTCTGCATGCGGCCCTCAACCAAACAAGTTTGGACACCCCTGCTCGAAAAGAAGCCCTCTTGTGTTTCAGTATTGTATCCTGTCAGTCTTATTATTGCTTCGTAATGACGTTTCATCGGAACATGCACTGTGTAGGTGTTGTGATGCCATATGTTGCTGTTTAGCGTCTCACTGTTGGATGTTTCGGACTGTGAAGTAGTGCTAACTTTCCTTTATGAAAGCCAATAAGACGCCACTGTATTTGCGATGTTTTAGCTGTAGCTGTTAGTTGGAAACAAACGAAAAAAAAAGAATACCTATATTTTCTTTGCCTGATTTTCCGCTGGTGCAAATGTAAATCCTCTCCGATGGTGAATGGCTTTGCAAGAGAAAAACAAAACCCCCACATTTCCTCCATCCCTTTCCTCTTACCCAGCCAAACAAGTTGAATATTGCACTTCAAGTTTTCTGTGCTGCAAATGCTTACTCGTGTCTATTTTTGTTTCAATTTATTTGCCGTTCTAGCGGATGAACTGTCAAATTGCTTGATTTCGTTCCCAATTTCCATCCGTCCATTATCCGAACCGCTTATCCTAATCAGAGAAAAGTATCAGCACATTAGTCTGTCGTTAAATTGTTTAACTTATTGGGAATGTATGTTTGCGAGTGTTGAAGCACAAACAATACTTCCATGTGTAACATATATGTACTAAGGCTGTCGAATAAATTGGCTTCCATTACTTTTGAGACTCGTCAGTTATTGGTCACGGTCGCTAAATGAACAATGAATGCAGTCGTGGTCATACAAAATTCAGTAAGTCGTCGTGTATATTTAACACTTTTCAACCTTTACGTCTCCTTCACAGAGAGCACCAAGAGAAACATTTCAATGGAAAAATTACTCAACAGGTGGATTTTTAGAATAAAATGCAGGTAAATAAATGCTGACTGGATAGAAATTTTACAGTTTTATGTTATGTTCAGTGCACATTTGTGGTTTTATGTTTATACAATCCCAACACGATAGTGGATGAATACATACAAAAAAATAGATCACGAGGTCTAAAAAAATATCGTAAAAGCCTCACCCCAAAGGTCAATGTAAAATGTGAGATTTTACAAGTTCCTCAAGCTCCCATCTCGTTTCAACTTGGGGATGGATGGCGTTCATTATTAGTTTTATTTGAAGCCTCCATTACCGTCACCATGCGTCCTAAGAGTCCAATCAGTGACTTTGTGTCCTCCTCCATCCTGTGCATCAGCTCTCTACTAAACTGGAAGAACCGTTCGTCCGATCGCTCCAAAAATTCCAACAGGCCATCGCTTGGTCGCTTCCTTTTCGCTGTGCACAACAAGAATTGAAAATAAACAAAGTGATTCCAGGTTATGGGAAATGGGTTCTCGTCCCTTCGTGCTCAGTCGTAATCAGAAAAATAAAGAAACCCAATTCGCCGGCTATGCTTTGACAGTGCAAAAACTTATTTCTGTGTCTAAGCCCAAAAATCGTACCCCTTTTGGTTGTTGTTGAACTTTCTTTGGAGCTGCAGGACGGTGAAGGCGAGTCACATGGGAGAGGTGCCGATGGTGGTGGAAGGTCGTCGCTACTATCGACCGACATAACCTCAGCAAACAAACCTAAAAAGAACACAACGATGATGTTGAATAGTTTCAAAACACAATCAAGTGATGTGTGCCTGCATAGTTTCAGTCAGGGGTGGCCAAACTTTCAAGATCGACTTTTTAAGCAACCAACCGCATGCGATCGACGCGTTTCCGCGCGTGAACGCATACCCACATGCATGCCAGGATGAGCAACGGCCAGAACGGCCCCGAACATGAACCAAACAGAAAATTAAAGTCGATACAATAGTTTGCGAGTTAGTGAAAAGGATTTACTGTTCGTGACCTTCGATGATGGGGTGAAAGCTGAAAATATAAAATCGTACCTCTTCTGCCATTGTTTGTTGCATTTATTGCTGCATTGCAATAAAGGGGTGGAGGTGGAGGTGTGTTGCTGTCTGCTTTAATGACGTGGTCATCGGTGGAAAAACCTAGAAATAACAATCCAAAAGCAAAAAGAGGTTTAGAATGCAACAGGATAAACTAACTGACCACATACATGAAAATACCGAAGAAGAATCTTTTCACGTCTGCTATTGATATGCATGTGAATAGATCTTATTGATAATCAAAGGCAAATCCCCCAAAAGATTATTGAGCATTTAGAGACTTTCCAGATTCACATTCTTTTACTCTGATGGCATTTTTAGACCCGACTGTTAGATGATATGCGGATGCATTATTTTGGTTAAAAAAAATAAAATTTTTTTTTAAAAAATGACCCGATGTAGTCCATAAAATATTTTCATTTACTGTTCGTGACCATCGACGATGGGGTGAAAGCTGGAGAAAAAAAAAAATCGTACCTCTTCTGCCATTGTTTGTTGCACTTATTGCTG